AAAAGAAAACCCCCAGGTGTTCTCAGCCAGGAGCTCTCCACCTCTCAGGCTGCTCAAAATTTATTTTATTTAACATTTAGACTTCTCCAATTTTCCCTGGAGGTTTCTGCCTATCACTCTCCAAATGCTCCTCCATTGCCTGAGTTTGACAAACATTTATTTTTGCTTAGATCAGCTAAGACAAATTAAGAAAAAGACTGAAGGATTATCTGTCTAGGAAGCTATGTCAATTAAGAAATGTGAGATGTAGAATTCAGTCAAGGAGCTTCCCTTAAAAGAATAAAACTAAAAGGTCAGTGCTGTTCCATGAAGTTGACTGGGTTTCTGTTCCTGGTTTCATTGTCCTTTGATGTCCTAGAAAGTGATTTCTGTTTTTATCTTCAGGACTGCTGCTTCCTAACTCTTCTCTCATTTGCTGTTTTCCTTGTTTGGCAAGGGTTAGGGTTTTCGTTCTGTCAGTTAAAAAAAAAATGAAATCACAAAACCAACATTCTGTAAATAAAGCTAAATCTCATGGAGCAGCAAAAAAAGAAAGAGAAAAAAATCTGACAAGAGCCAGGAAAATTCCTCAAAGAGACAAAATGTCTAGCCATCTGAAAAAGATTTAGAGAAAGGGTATGAGGGTAGAATTGGTAATATATTAACCGTATTATTCCTGTGCCATTATTTTAGTCACAGAAATACTATAGAAATGAAATAGTCTTTTGGTATATCCTCAGCAATTATACTTTTCTGAAAAGCTTCTCCCCATGGGAATTCCTGGCAGCTCTGTCAGTGTTCCTGTCCTCTATCCTCTCCCTAAATTTATAATTATCTGTGCTTGTCATCAGTGCTTTTCTCAATGCTCTGGAAATAAAAATGTTCCTGAGTGCCTGTGAAAAAGCTTAACACCTGGTTTTCTCTAAGTCCAGTGACTGTCTAAACAAATTTTTAAATAAGAGGATCCACTAATTAAATCTGTGCTCTAAGAGCATACTTGATGAATGAGAGTTAAACCCATAGCTATATTTTTCCCACTATATTTCCATTCTAGAGTTGGCACATAGTAGGAATTCAATACATTTGTCAGGTAGAATGATGGTTGAATAGATAGATGGAGGAATTTTAACATGACTAAAACCATGAGTCTCCTGGCCCTGGAAGGCATGATCATGATTTTCTTTTCCACCTGAAGGCAGTTCAAAGAGAAGATCTTATATTGCTCTGTAGCTTATGTTGCTTGGAGTACTACTGTCAACAGAAAAAATAAAAACATGAATTCTACAAATTTGGGAAGGAAACTTTCTTTCTTATAAAGGATTACAGCCTGCAAGGTGGGCATCCTGGCAGGCTGGGAAGCATAGCCTCTGACAGAAGCCATTTGCAGGCACTTCAAAGGCAGCTGAGGGGTTGAAGTAGGAGCTTTGTGCTGACCCCTTTGGTTAAATGTACATATTCAACAGGTTACAAAAGAGCATATGAGTATTCATGAAGTTTGTCTTAACACTTGCCTACTGAATAAACATGCACGCACATGCGACCCATGTTCACTTTGGGGTGGTGACTTAACATTTAAATGCATTAATATTAGGCCTTACAAGTTAAAAGGAAAAACAGGGGCACAAGGCATGCAGTGTGCAGCCTCTATAAACCAGCCAGAACCAATTCATGGTCAGTGGTCTCATATCAGGAGAAAGCTACTCAGTCTCTTGTCCTATCAAAGCTGCTGTTATGGTTGATGGAACAGGGGTTCAGTTAGTCAGTGTCTGGCAGTGAATGAGCTGCAATCGTTTTAATGTTGTTTGTCTCAAGGCCAGTGCTAGTTTAGCTGCTGGAAAAAAAGGAAAACCCCATGGCAGTTGGAACATAGTTTATCTTTAAGTGTGAGGGTACGTGACTTCACCCTCACCTGGGATGGCCTTAGGTCTTATTTATACTCTGATATCTTATTACCAAAGCGTTCATTTAATCAGTTTTGTGATCTCTATTTTAACATTAATATTGGTCAGTGGTATCTAAACCACAAAAGAGAGCTGGTATAACAAGGCGTGTCTGATCCTCTGGCCAGTCATGGCCAGGAACTCAGTTTTTAACGTTTCTTTGGGGACTACTTGGCCAAGAGATGGTCTGTTCAGTTGAGGGGCTTATGACTTTATTTTTATTTCTCACAGCATCACCAACCTCATGTGAGGAGATTCATGTAAACTGAAAACTGGTAATCCTATTGCTATCTCATACCTTTTGTGTAACTTCTAAGAATGTCTTCAAATTTCTCTCCACTAAATAACACTTTTCTTTGGTAAAGAGAACTAACTATATGTGTCTTTCACAAGTATCTAAAATCCAAATATAAATTGGAGCTTCATGTGGTCTAGTCTTGACAAGATATCCCAATTAAGAAAATGAAGAAAATGCAAACTAGCAGACAAAATTAATTTTTTAAATTTCAATATTTTCTGGTAATTCTCAGTGTTTTATGATTTCAAACAATCTTATTCCTAACCAGAGCAACTCATATTTGTCTTTTACCATGTCTCACCATGTCTCTTTTCTGGTAATTCTCAGTGTTTTATGATTTCAAACAATCTTATTCCTAACTAGAGCAACTCATATTTGTCTTTTATCATGTCTCTTAATATATCTGACCTCCTACAGCTACCCAAAGTTTTCCTGCCTGTAACTCTTTGACTCAAACTCATCCAACAAACCAAATTGACAAGGCTCTTATTCATTTCTCCTCCTTCATTTCTTTCTACCTCCATTCTTTTCCTCACTCTTCTCTCAGATGGGTCAGTCTTGGCTGTTCCAATGCAAATCTCTCTGCTTTATGAGTTAGTCCAAGTCCTCATCATAAAAACATATGACAGGAGTGGGCATCTACAAAATTGTCTTTGAGATAGTGAGTGATGTGGGAGAAGACAAAAGGAAGGCCTCTGGATTCTCATACATGATAATTTTTACGAGTCATATATAGATGGGATTTTGCAAAGAATAACTCAGGAATCGATGGAAAGCAGAAAGACAGATGAGGGACTGGTAAGGGATAGCTCCCAAAATAAAGTGTTAGCCTTACAAGAAACCAAGGTGATAAAGAAAAATATTTAAAAGTGTAGGGAATCCACTGGAAGCAGGGATTAAAAGCAATTTGTGATAAAAGGTAAAGCTTAAATTGGAACAAGAAGTGTAAGATTTTTAAGTTTGGTTTCAGAGCATGTATAAACAATCCTGATGTCAGAGGCTGAAAGTTCATAGTTGACATTTGAACTTAGGGGTTAAAGGAGATAGCTGGAATGTGAATGGAAAAGGCCAAGCTGATGTAAATTACAAAGCACATGTTTATAGCAAGAAAGGGGGAAATTCCCTATAATTCTGTAAGTGGGGTGGGGAAGTAAGTATCCTACTCATTTTAAGGGCAAAACACTGGATCTAAACTTATTTGATGCTATGTTAATTGGGGGTTAATGACTAAGCCAAGTAAACATAAAATATTTTTCCACGGTTAGCCTGTTACCCCAAATCCAAGCAATGTAAACTAGCTTTTACACTTTAAATTATTTATTGATAATGTAATGATTTAGGTGATTCACTTTGGTTAAACGGCATTAAACCCAACATTGGGAGCAAGTTTGTGACTTGAAGGAAATGACCAACAACCTCACTGGTAAAAATGGTTGAATTTACAGCGAAGAATATACATCGTCTTCTTTTAAGGTCTTCTTCAAGACTTTATCACAAAAAGGTATTGCTTAATATGACAAATTTTGAAGAAAAAGCCTGAATATTATTGATCCCTCTGAACCCCTAGTCTTTCAGATTAAGACAGAGCTATTTCCTTTAACAGGCAATCTTTTGGTATGTATTAAAGTTCTTCACAGTGTGGGGAGATGGGAGAGAAACTCCACTCCAAAAAGACAAAAAGAAGGAAGGATGAGATGAGGCTCTCTCTAGTTGTTCATCACTGCTCCTTGAAACGCACGATTATTTAAAGGTAAACCCACCCACCACCATCTCAGCCTTTTTGCTGTTCCAGCCCAAGGCTCTGAGGTCCTGAAACCAAAGCTCTTTTACAAACTTCTGCTCTGAAACTGTCTATTGTCAGCAAAGAAGATTCTTGGGTACCCAAGCAATAGAGAAACATTTGGAAGGAAAGGTTTTCTGGCTGCCCAAGGGAAAAAAGAAGAAAAAAAATCTCTTTACAAGATAACCAGAGGCACCAAATTGAAATCCTCTCATAAGAAAAACAAAAACAAAAACAAAACAGCACTTGTGGGCCTGAGGGTGTAATGAAAGTGCCTGTTTGTGAAAACCTATGTTTGAGGTTCTAACACAGCTAAAGAGCACAGTGAACAGTAAGTAGATATTACTTACCTCCTTAGGGATTTATCTTACTTGTCTGTAGATCCCCCCTGGAACCTAGCACAGTACCTTGTATCCCATCTGCACTCACTAAGAGCCTATTGAATTAGTTAATTATAAAGACAATGTCTTCAGAAAATGAGAGAGGAATGCCCTCCTACCCTTGCTGCATTTTTTATCACTGATATTTTTCCCGAGAAAGCATAGGACACAGGTTTAGACTAACGTCACAAAACTGTATGAGCGAGTTACATCAGAGCCAATTAAGGAAACAGAACTCATGGGGGTCACCAGGACAGAACTCATGGGGGTCTATGCTGCTGAACCCTTGAAAAAATGCCAAAGGGGCATATCAGCTGGTAAATGCCTGATTGGGTTAGCAGCTTATAGTTCAGTGCTACTGGAATATGTCTAAATTGTAACCATCATGGAAAGTGAAGTCCTTTCTCCCCCAAACCTCTCATGTATCCACCAGGCTAGCAAACAGAACACTATGGCTCTGTCTGTGGACCAAACCCAAAAGGTATGTGGTCAGGGCCAGGAGGGTAGATCAGAGAAGGAATTAGAAAGGCAAACACGTGTTTGTGGCAACTCCCTCCTCTGTGGACCTATGCCCAGGTCTGGCCCCAAACATAGGGTGGTCACAATTTCTGTACCAAGGCAGCATCCTGCTGTAGCACAGTTGTGTCCAGGAGTGAGGGAAAGCTGCCCACTCGGAGTAGATAATATCTGGAAAGAATGACTGTTTGGGAAAAGTCCCAGTGCTAGTTCAGTGCCAACCCTTCCCCACCTTCTCCGGACCCCTCCCACTGGTTCCTCCCCTCTCAGCTGCTTTGGTTCTTATAAAAACCTCACAGTCGTCCACTAACAGCCAGTAGGAGACTCTCTCCCTCCTGCGGCTGCACAGCACCCTGAGATTGACCCGCAGACGACGCGAGACCATGAAGACTCTGCTCCTTCTCTCCATCCTGGCTGCCTTAGCAGTCGCAATTTTGTGTTATGGTGAGAAACTTTTTTCTCTGCCATTTCTCTGGATTTTCTTTTCTCCCTCTGACTTCAGCTTACTTCAATTTTTTTTCTCCCTCCTCCTCTTCTTTCCCCTTTCTCTGTTATGATCTTAAAGTACCATTAATTTCATATTTTCCAGTCCCCATTGACACTGATCTTTTCCATCAAGTCTCTTTTATATACTAAATATCCAGACTCTTATATGCAACTTAACAGGCAAACTTTCAGTGGTAAATCTCTATAAACCAAGAAACTCAGATATTTCAGAAAGAGGATAACAAATTCCCCCATCCCCTGTATTTTCACTTTCAAGGATGTTTATTTAGACTTTGGTATCATTGGGTTTAGGATATTGGTTGAATCACTTATCTTTAAAAAAATCCATTTTCATGTGAGATATTAAGTATAATCCTTTCTAAGGACAGGACACTATCGTGAACTTACTGCATTTGTTGAGTCAATTGATTTTAAAATAAAGTTTCAGATTGAAAGATTTCAGAAAAACCATTTTCATAATTTCTATAGTCAGAAAAAAAAATCATTCCTGGTTTCTGTACATTGTTAAATATATCTGTGTAAAAAGGAAATTTAAAGTCAAATGATCTACTTAATTCAGCCTTATACTTCAATTACCTGGATATTTTAGCCATTTTAAAGCATAAATGACATCAACAACTCTAAGAACTATACTTACTATACTTCTCACTCTTGTATTCACAAATTTTCTGTATCAGAGAATTTGATTTCTTCACCTCCTTTTTTAACTTTGCCAGCACATATGCTTGCTTTCAAATATAAGTCACTTGTTCCCAAATGTACCCACTGTGCTCAGGAGAGTGATAGAAAAAAGAAAACTTTTGCTTTGTCGTTGTTTCAGTTCTCTCTGAGCTGGCATCATGCCCAGGGTGAGTTGTCAGCTACAGCCAGTGGTTTCTGTGGCTGCCAATTTAACACAGGTGCTTAAGAGGCTTTTGGATCCCTCTTAGACACCTGTCTTGGTAAAGTCCAGCTGGGCAATTGCCCAACAGTTTTTTGGAGAAATCTGGCTGCTTTCTGGACTCTCCTGGACCCTCTTTGACCCTGTTCTCAAACAGCTTCAGAATCAACCAAAGAAGAAGGTTTTCTGGAGACATCTGTGCAGCCCTTAAAATAACTTATTTTGCTTGTCTCAAGACCTCATAGCCCTTGGGAAATTTTAGCCAAGACTGGTCACTACCTCCTTCCACACCAGAGAAAATAAAAGACACAGCAATGACAGCAAAAGAAGCACCTCATAAATCCCAAGTTCCTAAAATTTGTAATAACCACATTGCTAAATGTATTCTTCATATCTTTTTGACTCTTTCCTTTCCTTCTGTCCCTATATATGCAACTTATTGCAACGTGTAATAAATAATGATATAGTTAATCTTTTTTTAAATTACAGAATCTCATGAAAGTATGGAATCCTACGAAATTAGTAAGTGAATATTTAACTTTCTTATTTAAATCTCTTGCGTTAAAGAATCTCTCCCTATTTTTAAATAAACAAGACGGTGAGATATAACAGAGGAAAAAGAGGACCTCTTTTGGAAAACTAAAATAAATTTTAACATCCAATGACTACAAAAATTGCCAAATGAGCAAATTTTTTTAAGCGTGAAGTAATGCAATATGACATTTAAACTACATCTAACATACTTAGAAGCCATAAAACCTCATTTGGAAATTTGAAGCTGGCACACATCAACCACACAGATGGAAAACGAGGAATAATGACAAATGGCAAAGTACAGAAGTGGAGGGCAAGTCAGCTGAGAGACCACAGGCGTCAGTGTTAAGCTGAATGTTGTCGAATATCTGGACTTACAGAGCCAGAATACACGAGGAAATGGCATATCACTCTCATTTTTAATTTACACATTATTTTTATAATGTTTAAACTGTTCATTTACTGGAAATCTAAAACTATGCTTTCCATGTCCTCAGGACAGTGAGATTTTATCCTCAAAAGAAATTAAAAACATACCCAGTAGGATATCAGAATTAAGAAAAGCAAAGTGATTGCCAAGGCAAAATAAGCAAAAATTGCTGTGGCCTATGTTACGGGTCTCTAAGGCACACAGAGGGGATTATTGGTTTCTTTTTATCAGTTTATAAAATCTACTTTATATTCTCCTTTGATTTTTGCCAATCTCTAATCATACGAAATACATAAATAAGGCATTTTCGAATATAATTGTGTCACAGAATATTCATGGAAATGTTTTCAGCTTCTGTTCTCCTAAAACTGAATTTATTTTCTTTTTTGTTTTAAGGTCCCTTCATTAACAGGAGAAATGCTAATACCTTTATGTCCCCACAGCAGAGATGGAGAGCTAAAGCCCAAGAGAGGTGGGTAACCACACTTTGTGAGGGGAGGTCATTTTTCCCAGTGTGGGTCACAGATCTGAGTGGAGTAAGAAACAGGTCCTTCATTATATATGTTATTTGTAATTGTATCTTAAAATCAAATAACTTAAAAATGATATGCAAAAAGCAACTGAATTTTTAGAAAACTATATTGGGAAGACTCAGAAAGGAGAGGGAAGGAGGAAGAAAAGAAAAACATGAAGAAAACTTCTGTTTTCATTTTTTAAAATAAATAAATAATCTCCCCTATTTTGCCTTCCTTCTCTGTTCTTCAAATATTTTCTTTTTTTTTTTCAATCATATGCCATATCATTAACTATTTTCAAACATTTCTTAATATCGGAGAGAGAGGGTGTGGGGGGGAAGACCTCTCTCAAACATTTTATGCTTTCTCTTTCTTTTTTTAAATTTCTTCACTCTCTGCTTCTCAATTTTGGTCTCTTTCTCCACTTTCTAGGATCCGAGAACGCACCAAGCCTGCCTATGAGATCAATCGGGAAGCCTGTGATGACTTCAAACTTTGTGAACGTTACGCCATGGTTTATGGATACAATGCTGCCTACAATCGCTATTTCAGGCAGCGCAGAGGGGCCAAATGAGATGGGGGGAAATCTCTTTTTTTCTGGAGGCTGGTGCCTGGTTTTATATCCCCTTGCAGTAGCATTACTGAAATGTATAGTCTCATATATAATGCTTGTTTCCTGTATATTCTCTTGTCAGGCTGCACCCCTCTTTCCTGCACCCAGATTAATAAGTAAAGAAAGTGCAGTGTAATGAAAGTCAAAAGGGAGTGAAGATGTGTGATTATTATGTAATAAACTTCTGGTTTGATACTTTCCTTTTATGAATCTGATTTTGTTCTTAAGACAAAAAATAAAATAAATTCAGAGACCAAAACTGAGAAGCATATCGTGGAAAAATTAAAAAGAAAGAAAGCATGTTTAAATAATGGCCTACCCAACCCAGCATAAGAGATTCTGTTCAACTCATGTCTAGTATTGAAGAGAAGAATAACTACACAAAAAGAATAAAGCTTACAATGCACTCACCCAGTCCTAACTTGTCTAAATTCTCTATACCTTCTGATCAGTTAGTGATTGTTTCCAATTATGTACTTTTCATGATCTTCCCATTGTAAGTTGTGGCAAATGTAGAGCCCATCTCATTTGTTTCTCATCTCTTATTCAGCAAGGTAAAAAACAAATTTCTGAATCAAGGTAATTCAGAAGAAGGCAACAAATGAGGAAATAGAGAAGAAAAAAACAGAAGGAACAATGGAAAGCAAATGGCAAAATGATAGACAAATTATTAATGATAGCTTACAGACTCTATCAATACTCACATTAGATGTACATATCAAACAATCCAAATTAGTTTTTACTTCTACATACATTATAGATGCCACAGAGCATTTTTGTTTCTCTTGTTTTAAACACTGTTTTAACTTTAGATAATAGGAAAATATTTCATACATTTATTGACCCATATAGCTTCCATTTCTAGTATGCTTCATTCTTCTTCCTGCCTGGTATAATTTCCCTTTTGCCTGAGGGCTTCCTTCGACATTTTTTGTAGGGGTAGCTCTGCTGGATTTTTAAAGTTTTATATGTTTGTTTTCCTTTGTTTTTGAAAGATATTTTCACTGGCTATTGAATTCTATTTTACCAGTTTTTTCCTTTTCAATTCCTTTAAGAGTTCCACCATCTTCCAGCCTGAATTGGTTTTTTTGGGGTTTTTTTTTTGAGTTGGAGTCTCACTCAGTCGCCCAGACTGGAGTGCAGCGGCCGCTCCCGGCCACCGCAGCCTCGCCTGCTGGGCTCCAGCGATCTTTCCGCCTCAGCCTTCCGAGTAGCTGGAATTACAGGCATGCGCTACCACGCCCGGCTGATTTTTTTGATTTATTGTAGAGATGAGGTCTCGCTGCCCAGGCGGGTCTTGAAACCGCGGGCTCAGGCAATCCACTCACCTCAACCTCCCAAAGGCGCGAGATTACAGGCTGAGTCACCGAGCCCGGCTCTGAATTGTTTTTTATATAAAATCTGTCGTAATTATTTTCTCTGTTCCTCTGCATGTATTGTGTCCTTTCTTTCTGGCTGCTTCTAAAATTTTTCTCTTTATCATTGGTTTTGACCAAATTGATCATGATGTTCCTACTTAAAAATATTTTCTTGTTCTTATGGTTTACTGACTTTATTGGATTGCATTAAATTTGGAAAAGTTCCAGCCATTATTTTTTTCAAATATAGTCTCTCCCTCATTCTTTTCTCCTTTGGAGGCACCAATGACACGCACATTTGGCCCCTTGAAGAAATTCCACAGCTCCCTAAAGTTATTTTAATTTTTATAAGCTGTTTTTCTCTGTTTCGTTTTTGACATTTTTTATTAATATGTCATCAGGATCATTAACTTTTCCTTTAGAAATACTTAATCTATTGTTTATTTTATCTACTGTATTTTTCATCTCAGACACTGTGGCTTTAATAACCAGAAGTTTGATTTAAGTGGTTTCATATCTTCCATGTCTCTACTTATCTTTTTCAATGTCTTTGATACAGTTATTATAACTGTTTGAATGTCTTTACCTGCTAATTCTAATATCTTTGTCAGTCATGGGTTGGTTTTGATTCGTTGATCATTCTGCTTGTATGAGGGTCATAATTTTCTACTTTTCTGCATTCTTGGTTTTTTTTTTTGATGGCATAAATTGTAAATTTATTTTTCTGTGTGCTGAATATTCTTGTATTTCTGTATGTATTATTGAGCCTTTCTCTGGGATGCACTTAAATCACTTGGATAAACTTGATCAGTATTTAATCTAAGGCAAATTATTTCCTCCACTGAGGCACCCAGTGTCCCATGACCATGTGGTAGAAATAGGCAATAATCCAATCTCTAAGCAAGCAGTTTCAAAAAAGACTGGAACATTAATCATCTCAGGTTTGGTACTTAACTAGGTTTGGAATTCATGCAGCAAAGTAATTTATATTAGAATGGAGATAAACTTATATTCTTATTTAGTAGTAGTATATTTAGGCACTATTTTACCTTAACCTTTCAGTGGAGGGAATCTCTAAGTAATCTGTGTACCTCAAGTTCTTGAGTTATTCATCATTAAGGATATAATGAAAAATGATAAATTATCCTTTCTTCTATCTTAATGTTTTGGCCCAGTTCCTTGTCATTATACAAAACTCAAAAGTGAGTAAATTCTATTATAAACTCACTTTGATTTGGAACCCTGAAACTTTGCCTGTATTGCCTCTGTTTATCTATCTATGAACTTAAGGCTCTATTCTATTCTAGATGACTCTCTTCTGAAATCCAGACATTGCTTCCTATATGATTATTTCTAGACATAACTTCTTTGATATCCCTCCACCAGTAAGAATCCCTGACCACTGAAGTCAATTTAGAACAAAACAGATTAATCCGCACTGCTTTCCCTACAAGCTTGGGAAACCTTTATCCAGAATGTGTTATATGCCCTAAACTACTAAGCATTATACAGTGCCATGTCACCAATAGGTAGACTACATGGGTCTAAAAATAAGATATGGAATAGTAGTGACCCACTTATCATCATTTGTAACCCACAGGAGGAATTTGTACTTCGAATCCTTACAATTCTAATCCATAGACCTGGAAACTCTAGTTTATAGAAAGGAATCACTTTCACTATGGTACATAGGAAGAGTTTCAATTTAGCTCTAGAAGCTGCGTGGGAACTTCAGGCTCTTCATGCTAGGAAACCAGCTAGAAAGTAAAGGAATCATCTTCCTAATGAAAGAAATTGACCACTTTCATCAGGAGAAGGTAGGGCTTCTGCTGCACAATCAAAGAAGGGAAAATTCATTTGACATCACTGGAGCATCTCTTGATATTTCTCTGCCCAATCATGATAGTAAATGATTCAAGCATATCAGCCTTGGTCTGAGAAGAACATGGTGCAGGAGCTCACAGCTCTCAGGAATGGGACTCTATCTTCCTTAATCTTTAGATACCAGGACCACCAGATGTGCTAACTATAAGTGAGGGAAATCTAGAATGGATAGCTTTTGAGAGGAAGACAGTCAGGCACAGAGGCTCACACCTGTAATCTTAGCACCTTGGGAGGCCGAGGCAGGAGGATCACTTGAGCCCAGGAGCTTGCAGCCTAGACAACATAACGAGCCTGGTCTGTACACAAAAATTAGCCAGGTGTGATGGCATGCACCTGTAGTCTCAGCTGCTTGGGAGGCTGAGGTGGAAGCATCACCTGAACCCAGGAGGTCAAGGCTGCAGTGAACTATGATTGTGCCACTGCACTCCAGCCTGAGTAACAAAGTGAGACCTCGATTGCAAAGAAAAAAATTAAGGGGAGACAATGAGTATTAGCAATTGTCTTGTAACCATTTGCAGCAACAAGGACTGTAGTTTGTCGTACTAACTTTCATACGTGTTCTGGCTTGTCCTTAGGAGTGGACTAGACCTCAAACATGAGAATATGCCAAAGGAGGAAATTATAAAGCTGGGAAAGAAGAGATAGTTGTACACTAAGACTTGGAAATACATTTTCATGAAACAGTCACAGCATCTAGGAAAGTGTAACTAGGATCTCTCTATTATGATTTTTCCCTGGAAAAGAGACAAACTATAATCCTGAATAAGCTGTTCCTGGGTATTTTATATGAAGCAAGTGCAAGTGTGGATTACAGTGGATGATGTGATGCATTGCCCAGATCCCTTCAGAAATGAGGCACTCATTTTCTCAGACTCTGGCAGCTGATAAGGTGCCTGGGTCTCTTTCCTAAAACTGTCCTTAGATGAAGAGAGTCATCTTGCTCCAAGTTGCATCTTTTTCCCGAAGAGGCTCATGTCCAAAACCTAGTCCAAGCAGGGGTATAAAGACCTAGCGCCCTTCTCCTAACACTGATGTTTTTCTGTCTTGTGATCACCTCTTTCTTATCCCGCCTCCCCCTTCTCCCGCTAGCTCCATGTTAAGAATCCAGGATCTATCATGACTTAATTTCTCAGTTTATTACTTTATATATTCTGAGTAATTGGAAAATAGAAATAGGATATGGAGAACTCTCTTAGTTGTCTCTAAATGTGTCCTAGATTGAAATTGGCCCCAATATTCCTGAATTGAAAATGAAATTCCAAGCTTATACTAGAGTAGGTTGATATCAAGGACTACAATTCTCCTTTAGAGAAATGAACTGGGTGATCTGTTGGGGGGTTTTTCCATCTCTCATTTTTCTGAATTCGGGCATTGAAAGCTAACCAACAAACAAGAGAGCCAGAAACATAAGTCATCTGGGGTTGTTAAAACATGAGGTTAAGGTTTGAAAAATACTGTTCAAGAAATGTGCTCTTTGCTCATTTAGTTAATACAGGAGACTTTTACAGTGTTTGCCTAGAAACCCTCTGACTCCTTTACTTTGGGTAGTGAAACACACAAAATGTGTTTCTACCCATTTCATCTAAGGATAATGATCGCTCTTTTTGACCACAAACCTATAATAAATAAAGTAGGAAAATAACCTACATTCATTTGATAGATGTTTTAAAACATTCTGAGGTAGAATTTTCCTCCTTACAAGGAGTCTTGAAAATGTTCTAAAGGATAATGATTTTGTATTATAAAGTATTCAAAGAAAATCATAAATGTTGTGACTTACTCCTAGGAGTGAATTGGATCTCAAACATAGAGTATACCAAAAAAGAAATTATACCGCTAAGAAAGAGGAGATTTTTTTTTTTTTTTTTTTTTTTTTTGCTATACTGTTAAATTCGCTTCTATGGAAAACCACAATACCCAGGGAAATAGGATTAGAACTACAAAGTTTAGTAGAAGCA